AATAACAAGTTTCTAATTTTAAATATATAATATAAGGAATTATTTTTTATACCTCCAAATTTATTATTTATACCTTCCTGCAAATTTGACTTTTTTTTAGACTTTGAATAAAGATATTTTAGTAACTATCAAGCCAAATTCAACAAAAATTTTTTCTTTGAATTTTATAGATTTGTAAAAACAAAACAAAAAAAAGTTTATTGAATTTGGTTTAGTAGTTGCTGAGATATCTTAGCTTAAAGTTTAAAAAAAATTAAAATATCTATCAAAACAAATTATACAAAATTTTCTTTAAACTTTAAACAAATATTAGAAAATTTAGTAAGTGCAAATTTGCAAAAATCTGTATTTTTGCAGATTTTTGCAAAATTTTTTGCAAAAAATTTGCAAAATTTTTTAAAATTTGAAGTTTTGCACAGAATTGCATTTAATTTTTGCATTTGTAGTATCAAATTTAAAGTTTGTGCAGATTTTTATTTGATTTATTATTTAATTTTTTTGCAAATCTGTACAAAACTGCAATAAAATTTTTTTCTAATAAAGATATCTTAGTAACTACCAGGACAAATTTAATAAACTTATTTTGTTTGAATTTTATAAATCTATAGAATTTAAATAAAAAAAATTATCAAGCTTGACTTAATAGTTTTTTTTTTTTCAATATTAAGGTGATCTCTTTGGCTATAGAAACTCTTAATTAGTAATTATTTGCTATTATAATTACAATGAAGATGCAACTAGCCACATGTACACTTTTTGAGTATCTATTAAATAGTCTATCCATAGATTTTATACTAGATATTATGTCTATAACCCAACTAGAGAGTTACTCATTTAAACCTTTTGATTCAAAACTATTTTTAAATATATTATACTATCCCAAGAACTACTAATAGCCTGAAGGGTGTGGTGACTTAGTGAAGTAGTGGAGTTGTCACACCCCCAGATGGCAGGTCTAGAGTTTGAATTCCACAGACAACGATTTTGAAAAAACTAGATCTGTATTAGTTAACATTAAGATTATCAGTTAGATCCAGATATCTATAATCTTGGTCACACTATCTCGAATAGAAGCTTTGGCATAATAAATCCAAGAAACCAGAATTACTAAAAACCCATTTGGCAAGTCTAAAGTGTAGAGTAGTAGTGATCTTTAACAATACTACAGGAGGCCAAATTTGGAACTGAGAACTGAGATCAGAGAACTGAATGACCAGATCCTTAAGTAGAGGGATATACAAGCTGAACTGCCAGACCATCAACCAGAAGAAAAGGACATATGGGGTCTTTGCTAGGAAAACCAAGCTTCGAGACTATATAAAATTTACAGGCAAAATTTAATTTTTCTAGTTATCCAGTAATCAATTTGAATAAATATTTTTTTGTTTTGTAAAGCTTACTAAGCTTTACAAATTAAAAAAATATTTATTTAAATTGGATTACTGGATGACTAGAAAAATTAAATTTTGCCTGTAAATTTTATATAGTCTCGAAGCTTGGTTTTTCTAGCAAAGACCCATATGCTTCGGAAGCATATACCAAGGGGAAGGCGGCCATGTGGCACCTAAAGCCTGGGTATACCAACCCTTCTAAGTTGCCGGCTAGAAGTAAGGAAGGGACCAGTAAAGAATTTAGAAAAAAAGAAAGCTAGAACGTGGGTACTGGGGTTGTTGTGAACCTTACAAGAGCAAGGAGTATATAATGGAATCCTAATTAGGAAGGTTTTGGCTTGAGATATGGATTGAGTTACAGCAGTATCTGAAAAGATAGCTTGAGATACAAACCCGACAGTGGCAGCACAACATGTACTAGTTAGGTGAAAGTTATCAGAATATGCAGTTGAATACATGGATAGGACATGTACTATTCTATTAGGTTTACTACAAGGATAAATGCCCATGTAGCTAAAATCTTAGAGTTATTTCACAGCATTACTAATTTCAAATGAGTGTTAGGGTAGACATGTTACAAAGAAGAAGCTAGAGGATTTAAATGAGTAACTCTCTAGTTGGGTTATAGGTATAACAGCTAGTGTAGAACCTAGAGCAGACTATTTAAATAAGTAAACAAAAGTTGCATATATGGCTAGTTGTACTCTCATTAGTAAATTACTAGAGAGCTTAAATAGGTAATCTTCTAGTTAGATTGCAGATATAGTAGCTAGTGTAGAACCCAGGTGGACTACTTAATTAGGCACCCGAAAAATACGCATGTAACTAGTGTATCCTTGTAAATTTGATATAATATCGTGATCTATCTAAATAAAGCTATATACCAGGAGCCTAAGTGGTCACCTTAATATTCAAAAAAAAAAAAAACTACTAATGGCCTATTCTACTAGATTGTGCACCACTGTCTTAGAACTTCTGTAACTTATCCTGGGTTTGTCTAACTAATTACTGGCTTGTATTTTTCTATTGAGCAAATACATGACTATTCTTGATATAAATTTACCAGAGCTTTCTTTATCCCATTTGGGCCAATCTGGTTTTGTACAATTACTAAGACTCTTACTCGCAGTTGGGATTATTCCTATTTTATTAAAAAATTAAGTAAGTACAAATTTGCAAAAATCTGTATTTTTGCATATTTTTGCAGAATTTATTGCAAAAAATTTGCAAAATTTTTTAGAATTTAAAGTTTTGTACAAAATTGTATTTAATTTCTATATTTATAGTATCAAATTTGAAGTTTTTCATTTGATTTATTATTTAATTTTTTTGCAAATCTGCGCAAAACTGTAATAAAAAGATTTTTCTGATATTAACCATTTTTGCTCTTATAAGGTTCACTCCTAATCCCAGTACCTGCATTCAGAATTTTTTTGTTTTCTGTTATTTTTTTTATTAGTACATCTCTTACTTTTAACTAGTGATCTAGAAGATTCAACCTTGGCTTGGCTTTAGGTACTAGTGCCCTCATCTTATTTTGGTACATGATTTCTCAGCATATGTTCTTTTTCTTCAATTTGGTAGGCTAGTCCTTTAAACATGTCTAACATTTTTTTGTCAGTTACTTGACTTTCATAGCCTTTGGTCTTGGTGAGTAGGGCTCCCACAACTAGTTTTCTATGCCAGTTGGTCAGAGTTGGTGTACTCTGTAACATCTTACAGATTTTCAACTTCCTAAATTAGTGGTCAGGTTGGTAAATCTCTTTACTAAAGAATCTTGTTGTCATTTAGTTCTCCAATTTTGGTTCTAACTTCTAAATTCAAATCTTTTCTGTAGTATTATCAAAGATCATAGCTACTTCTTACTTGGGTCTTTCTAAACAGGTTTTAATTATCCTAGTTTCTGGGCCTTTTATGTATCAAAGCTTCTATATAAACATGGTGTTACCAAGATTACAGGTTCTAGGACCCAGCTGAATAATAGATAATCATTACTATAACACAGGTTTATTTTTTGAAAATATTATCTGTATGATTCGAACTTTGGACTTGCTGCTTGGTGAGATGATGACTAGACCACTTTACTAAGCTACTACACCTTACTTGACTTAATAGTTACTATATTTTTGTATAATAATGCTTATAAGCATTATTTCAAATAATGGTCTAAATTAAGCTTAATTTGGGCCAGAATTTGAAATTACACCTCTGTGTATTATTATACAAAAATATAGTACTGAATTATTATTATTCAAAGTTTTAAAAAATTTAAAATATATATTAAAACAAAAGCTATATTAAAATTTTTTTTTAAACTTTGAATAGAAATATCTTAGCAACTATTAAACTAAATTTAATAAACTTTTTTTTATTTAAATTCTAAGAATTAATAGAATTCAAATAAAAAAAGTTTATTAAATTTAGTTTTAATAGTTGCTAAGATATTTCTACTCAAAATTTAGAAAAAATTTTGATATAGCTTTTGTTTTGATATATATTTTGATTTTTTTAAAACTTTGAGTAATAATAATCTAGTAACTATTAAGTCAAATTTGATAATTTTTTTTTTTATTTGAATTCTATAAATTTATAGAATTAAAATAAAAAGAGGTTCATTAAATTTGGCCTAGTATTGCTAAAATATTTTTGCTCAAAGTTTAAAAAAAATTTTATATAATTTGTTTTGATAGATATTTTGATTTTTTTCAACCTTTGAGCTAAGATATCTTAGCAACTACTAGATCAAATTTGATAAACTTATTTTTTTTAATTTCTACAAATCTTTAAAATTCAAAGAAAAAATGTTTGTCAAATTTGGTCTGGTAGTTACTAAGATATCCTTGCTCAAAGTCTAAAAAAAGTCAAATCTGCAAAAAGGTATAAATAATAAATTTGGAAAGTATAAAAAATAATTCTCTAAATATATAATCTAAATTAAAAAAATTAACTATCAACAAGTATAATATATATTCATAAAAGTATAAATATATAGAAAACAAAATACAAACTAGAATTATAATAACATATAATTGTAATATCTTGTAACTTTTTTTTCTCATATTTGATATTATTGCCTTGCAATACTATTAGCATTCTTTTTATTCATTTTATTAATTTATTTTAAACCTTGATTATATATGTTTTTAGGTTTAATCTATTTTAATATTCTATAAAGATATTAGTTATTGTATTTTGTACTAAATATATTATATTTTTATTCTTTTGACTATGTCTTGCTAAAAGTATATAGTGCTTTTCTTAATTAGTTTTTAACACAAAATTAGATTGCCAGTTCTGGAATCAAAGATTTTTACTATTTTGCTTGTATATAGATATATTTTATAGACTCCAAATATATGAATCCATCTTATTATAGTCTTTAAGTCTTTTTCTTCTATGTTATTGCTAAATATAAACTCTTTTAAAGATATAGAAGGCAGTAAACTTCATATTATAGTTATTGTGAAATAGAAAAAACTCTATATTGTTCTACTAATCTTGTAACTAACTATAAAATACTCTACTATTTAGATTGGTCCTTGACAATATGGATATTTGCTATTTTGTAACTTTAAGAAATAGATTAGTTTATATTCTAGAAATAGAGCTCTATAAGCTAGTTTCCAGAATATAACTTTTTTTTTGTTTTTTATTAGTAGTTTTTTGAACTATTTTTAGAGATCTAGTAATAATACCAAGATTTTTAAATTTGTTAAAGTTGTTATCAGTTTTAAGTTTCTTTCTAAGAAATTTTGTTGCCTTTTTTACTGAGTATTCTTTAGCTTTTATTTGGGCAATTTTTATTTTGCAAGAGGCCAAGGCTATATATTCAAGTTTGTATTGATCTGGCTTTTTGAACTTTTTATACTTTGATATACCTCTTTTAATATTTAGATTATCTGCTTTGCTTTATTTATATGCTATTTAATACTGTTTTAGTACTTAAATTAAGTTTATTATATAGATTATTTGTTATTGTATTTCTCTTTATTTTTGCTCAGATACTATTTTTTGTTAGCAGCTTTAGCCAAATAGACATTAGTCTAATATCTATTATATAATCTATTACTAGAACTTTAAAGCTTTTCTGTTTATAGTTTTGTTAAAATACTACTATTTTTGAAAAAAATTTTAATTTGTTTTTAATTTATTTAACCATAATATTATTTATTTTTAATTTATTTAACCATAATATTATTTATTTTTTTAATTTGCTTTTTGTTAAATAGTAAATATATAAAATATCATATATAAGATAAGAGCAAAAAGTTAATTAGCAAGATTTTCTCTTTGAAAAATAGATCTTTTGAAATATTATATCAATTATTATTATTTTTTTTATTTTTTTTGGCTAGATCAACTAGTCAATTTGTTCTAAAGTATTAAAGATAAGCCCCAAGTTGTAATACTTTTATTCTCTTCTGCCTTCTTGAATAATCTCTCTTCTTCTAGTTTAATTCAACTTGTATTGTTTGTAAAAGGTATTAAGATTAATTTGTTAAAGTTTATTTTAGTATTTGATATTTTTTTATATCTCTTTATTAGTATTAATAATTTATATTAGTTAGAGTATAAGCCTATTTCTATTTTTAGATTATTTGCATATGCAGTAAGTTTGAAGTTTTGGTTATTGATATAGATATCTTGTAAGTTACATTTAATTATATATAAAAAAGTTTTGAATACTATTATATAAAGCAAGAGTAATAAAGAATCTTTTTGCTAGATACTTCTATTTATTTTGAACAGTTCTGAAATTATGCTTGTATCAAATATGTGTACTGTTTGCTCTGCAAACAGGTTTTTAATTATGTTAATAAATTTTGGTTCAAAATTTATCTTTTTTAGTACTATTTACAAAAATCTATAATTAACTCTATCAAAAATTTTTTGTTGGTCCAATACCAGAACCTAGTACTGTTTAATAAGATTTTTTTTTAATTTCTAATATATTTAATGCAGAGTTTAGTATTAATCTATCTGAAATAAAACTCTACTAGTAATTGCTAATTATGTCTTGACATATTGTATTGGGCTTTATAACTAGGATCTTCACAAAGATTTTGTAGTCATAGTTGACTAGTGAAATGGAGCACCAATTTCTTACTTGCTCTAAATTTTTAGATTTTTTTAAAATAAGTATGATTGTATTTTTGCTTTATAATCTAGGCAGATTTCTATTTTCTAAAACTTCATTAAAAAGTTATTCTAGTATCAGTACTATTTTTTTTTTTAGAGGCTTTGTAAAGTTTATATATAAAGCTATCCAGTTTTGGTGTCTTGTTGTTAAGTAAGCTATTTATCATGAGTTTAATTTTTTTCTAAGTAATTTTTTTAAAAAGTAGAGTATTATACTTATTCAAAATTTGAGATAGATTTTTAGTTAGCTTTAATACTGCTTCTTTATTAAATTTTTCTGTCTTGTAAATATTTTTTAAATATTTCTAATATATTGTAAGGTTATATACTCAGATTCATTTTATTTGAGTTGTCTAAAATGCAGATTTTAAAAGTAGCAGTTGTTGTATATCTTGATTTGTAATAAGAGAAGAAGTATTTGGTAGATTATTTACCTTTTTCTAGCTATTATGTGTTTGATTATATTTGTTATTTTCAGCTAGTAGTATTAGCTTATCTTGTAGCTAAGCTAATAATTAGTCTACTATGATGTTTAGATTGGTCTATTTAGAGTTATTTGCTAATTTAACTATTATTTTTGTAATTTTTTTTATTTTGTTTTTGGATATGTCTTTTAAATGTAGCTGGGTTTATATATGCAAATAATAGACTAAATATAATTTTTTTTTAAAGTTCTAGTTTGCTATGTTTTAAAAGATTTGTAATTCTTCTATTAACTGCTTTCTAATTCTTTTATTATTTTAACACTTTTTGTCAAATTTCTAGTATACTGCTTTGTTAGTTACTAAATTAAAGCTTATACTGTATTTGACTAATAAATGGGGTGAAGTCAATAGAAATGGGACAAATTTATCTAATAAATTTGTTTCATTTCTATTGACTCTACCCCAAATGGTTAAAATTCTTATAATAGGTTTTTACCTTTTGGCAAAATTAAATATAGTTATTTTCAATAAAGATATAGTCTAGTTAAGTAGCTATTGTATAGTTACTCTGTATTATTTAAAAATAAATAAAGAATGGTTTGGCTAATGCAAACTTGGCAGTATCTGAAACCTACTAAACAAGTCTTGAGTTTTTCTTTTGTTGAATTATTATGTACTCTTGAGTTGCTTATTCTGTCTATTTGAAGGTTGAGGTTAATATTAAAATTGCTTACTATTATATTTATTGCTTCTAGGTCTGTTGTAGATACCTAGTTGTTTAGAAAAGTTAATCTTTTTGTTATATTGAATAGAGTATATATATTTATAATCTAAAAGTTCTATTTTTGAACTTGTATTATATTGTAATAAATTTGCTATTGTGTAATTTCTTTATATTATTGAACTTGATATCTTTATTATCTGCTAAATAGTTAACTTAGATATTTAAAGAGTTAAATATTTATTGTTATGCAATATACCTTCATATGTTTTTATTAGTTAGGTTAGTTTCTTGTAAAAATATTATATTAATATAGTAAGTCTTAATTAATATTAGTGTTTTTTGGTATTTGAATTTGTTGTTAAGACTCTTCATATTTAGTGTTATAATCTTTATATTAATATTAGATTTTTGAGTTGTTAGTTGAGATTTTGTAATATTCTTTAAGTGTTTATTAATATTCTTTGTTTTCTTGTAAAGGTTAGGTTTTATACTCATAGTTGTTGAGTTTGCCTCTGGCTTTTGCTCTTATTCTTTTTCCTAACAACTTTAATAAATCTATTCTATTTTGCTTCTTGGTCTGTTTTCTAGTATTATCTATTTTTTTATCAGTAATCATTGTTGCAGATTTAATAGTCAAGAGTGGTATTGTCCTCTATCTATTAATATTATTTTTTTCTACATATATTGTAACATTGGATATTACAGATTTGTTTGTTGTAATATTTATTTGTGAGACATTGGATATAAGTTTTATGTTTTTATCAGGTGTACTATTATTGTGTATATTATTTGTACTAATACTTTTTTCTTCTAATTGAGAAACTTCAAGAGTTACTTAAGCTTGTAGTGTATTATCTCTTATATAGAAGTTGTTTGTGCTAAAGGTTTGTATAAATGTATCTGTATCAGTCTGTTTCATCACATTGTAATTGATTTTTACTTGTTCTTTTTGTTTTTTTTATAGTTGTCTAAATTCAACTAATATTTTGTATTTTGCATAATTTTGTTTGATATAATCTACTTTATCATAGTAGAAACATAGTTTGGGGCTTCTTTTTACTCTGATTATACTCTCTGATTTCAGATATGTATATACCTGGGTATTCTTTCTGCAAGGTTTGGATTGTCTATTGTTTCAAATACAACTACCCACTAATTTGTGCTAATAGAAGTTCTCTTGTACACTAGAGATTTAATTGAGATAATTTTTTTATATTTTCAAATGCTTCTTTAATATGATTAAATATGAATTCTTTATGATCTAGAAGAATGTTTTTTAATTTTACAGATAAGTACTTTTTTCTGAGATTTGTAAATATATAATCTAAAATAGTTTAATTAAAAATTGCAAAACCTTCTATAGTATAGTGCTTTTGTTTTTTTTACTAGCAAAAGTTACTTCTAACTAGATACATTTTCTCCTATTAAAGCAGGTTTTGCAGCTATAAAGTTGTTATCTATTTTTGTATATATAGTTGAAATAATTTTATTTATAGTAAGATTTTTCAAGTTCTAAATCTCAAAAATAAGAGTATTGTTATTTTTTATATAAATTCAGCTCCTGGATACAAAGATTAAGTAGTTTGATTTTTCAGTTTGAATAAACTAAATCATTGTTGGTTAGTTAAATCTTCTTTTTGAGGGTGTGTGATTTTTGTAATTTTTGCATTTGTTCCAAAAAGTTTTGTATCTGGTGCTATTGAGTTTTTCTTGCTATTAAATTTTTGCCAATATATATATAGTTGTAAAAGTATCATGGATTGGACTTAACAATCCAGCTAATTTTTAACTACATATTCTTGTTCAGTTGTTTTGGCCTAACTTGTTAAACTCTTATTTGTAAAGTTTGTATTTGCATTCTAATTCAGTGCCTGCTTTTGAACTCTTAATATTGGTTTTCAGATATGCTCTCTACAACAGTGGTGAGAGCATTTTTTGCTCTAGAGTTGTGTATTTTAGTTTTTTTTTTCTGTGCTTTTTCTATTTCTATGTATAGTAATTTTTTTTTCTTTAAGGTAAGGGCAGAAGCTTTTATCATATAGTGTTTATTATCTTTGTATTTAGTTTTTGGCACTATATTGGTTCTTTACTGAGCCTGTACTAATGATCAGCAGGTTGAAATTTTTAATGATTTATTTATATTGCAGCTTTTAAAAAAACTTGGTCGAATAACTGAAATTAAAAAAAATTTAAAACTAACTGTAAGTATTATGTTTGAATTACTATATTTAAGTTAAATAAAAAATTTACATATAATAACACTTTTTATTCAAGAAACAATACACATCTTACCTTGCTAATTACTAAATCACTTTACCTATAAAGCAAAAAGTACACCCTCTTACTAACTTCTGGATTATTTCTCCATTTTCTGGATTATTTTTACATATATTAAGTAAAAGATGTAGTTTCTGAATATGTAATCAGCTTCATTTGACAATTCATTTTCATAGCTGCTAATTTGTTTAAAGTTAGATAATATATGCAGTGTATATATAATGATACATTTGGTGATTGGCCAATCAGAATTAAAGCCCGCCCTGCTCGTAAAAATTATTTGTAGATCTGCATCACCTGATCAAAATCGCAGATCATTTGACCAGATTTAAAATTGGGTTGTTCTAGATCTGGCCAAATGATCTGCGAATTTGACCAGAATTATAAAGATGGGTTAGGCCACTCCAAATTGATTCTTTGTTTAATATAAAAAAAATATTTCGTAAAAGCGGAGGCATTAAACAAGTCCAATAATACAAAAATATAGTAATTCTATTGGCTATAAAAAATATGAAAATTGCTGTAAAAAATATAAAAGTTTAAAAAGCTAATACTGTAATTTAATTAGTTAATATGGTGTTGATTTTTTATGTAAATTTTTAAAAAACAGGGGGAGGGTTATGTTAAACATAGAATCAACTTGGAGCGGCCTTATCAAATAGTGTAGATCCGCTGACATAGTCTCATGTCGAATTAAGTATAATTATCACTTTTATTGACCAGAATATTAAAAATCTGGCATCGACTACAATTTTAGTCGGTCAGCTAAACGGTCAGTCGGCTAAATATCGATTAATAGTCGCCTATAGTCGACTATAATTGTAACCGAACCCATCCCTGGTTCCGTAGCTTCAGAAGTGGTGTAAAGACCTAATATTTGGCAATTAGGCTCCACAACTGCGATAGCAGTACAAGGACTTCATGTTGGCAATTAGGCATCGCAGCTATAATAGTAGTGCATGACCTATGTTTGATGGTTAGGCTTCCGGCTGCGTAATCATGGCTGTGATAGCAGCGTAAGAACCTCATGTTAATGATTAAGCTCCGTGGCTGCGATAATAGTGAAGGACCTCAGGTTGGTGATTAGGCACCGCAGTTACAATAGTAGTGCAAGTCTCATATCTGATAATTAGGCTCCGTGGCTGCGATAATAGAGAAAGGACTTTATGTTAAGTGACGGGGCTCCCGTGTTGGAGATTAAACTCAGTGGTTGCAATAAGGTTGCAATAATAGTGCAAGACCAATGTTCGATAATTAGCTATGCAAAGACATTACGTTTGTTCATTAGGCAGGAAACCCACAGGTCGAATGAAGGCAAATCGGGCTCCAACCGGCATTACGTAATCCCGATACGGACCTGATTTGAAACAGTTGTTTGGCGAAAATAGGAGACCTTTAGGATACAAATCGGGTTGATATAGGCGTTCAATACATATCGGGATGCCGGTGGCTCAATTGGTAAATCGATAAAGCTATAAGGCTAGCTTTATCGATTTACCAATTGGGCTATCGGCATCCTGATATGTATTGAACGCTTTCCGCCAAACAACTGTTTCAAATAAGGTTCATATCGGGATTACGTAATGCCGGTTGGAGCCCGATTTGCCTTCATTCAACCTGTGCCCATAAGTCGATTAGAAACTGCGACTACGATAACAGTGCAAGGGTCTCGTGTTTAGAGATGATGCACTGTAGCTACAATAGCAGCGCAAGGACTTCATGTTGTGATCAGGTTCTGTAGCTACAATATAGTGCAAATACTTCGCATTTGATGATTATGCGATAGCAGTGCAGGGACCTCTCGTCTGGTTATTAGGCAAGAACTCCATAATATTTGATTAGGTTTTTCGGCTGCGATAGCAGTGAAGGGCCTCGTGTTTGTGATTAACAGTGCAAGGACCTCATGTGTAAATTAGGATATTTGATGATTAGGCTCCGCGGCTGCGATAGCAGTGCAAGGACCTCTAGTTGATGATTAGGCTCCGCGGCCGCAACAGCAGTACAAGGACCTCATGTTGATGATTAGGCTCCGCGGCTGCAAAAGCAGTGCAAGGCCTCAAGTTGATAATTAGGCTCCACGGCTGCAAAGCAGTGCAAGGACCTCATGTTGTGATTAGGCTCCGCGGCTGCAATAGCAGTGCAAGGATCTATGGGTAAGTAACAATACCCGCGTCACTATGTAACACTAATAACCGATTCTCGTTACTGCTATGTGAATTCTCCCATGCGAAGATGCAATAGATTATAAGACGGATAGTCAGTTTCGGATGTGAATATTTCTTAGAGGCTAGATATTTATATATGCATGATATAGTGCTTGTAATTGATATCGAACGGAATCCCATATGTTCTTCGTCCAAATAAAGTCATTTAATTGAGCAATAATAATGATCAGTGTGATTGACTTTCTGGTATTATGTAATACAATATCAAACGTTCTATCAAAACATAATAAATTATGTACAGTCAACTCTATCTATTCCGAACAGTCCACACTTGTATGTAAAATTGGTCAAAAAATTCAGTTTTCAAAAAGGTATTATATTGCTAATCCGAACTAAATGATAAAATCTACAAATGTTCTGGAATTTTACGTTCTGTTCTCACAGAATTTATTAAGGTTCGGATTAGAGAGACGACCGTATTATCAATAGTTAAACTCGTCGCAGTAAAAACTTAAAAACCAACTTCTAGATTTTATTCTCACGCACTCATATGAAAAAAATGACCCAATGTCATAATTTAATAATTCTATCGCCAACTATACGTTCAGTTACCCTGCATTGATACAGCATTCCTTGCATCAATAGGAATGATTTATCAAATAACATAACTATTCATCCATTAATCTATTTTAACCAATCATCTATCAATTTCAGAATTCAATAACTAGGATGAGAACGCTACCTTGTGAAATCCTTTAAAGCAAGCTACCGATGAAATAGATAGCTTACTTGGCATTTATTTAAACATAATTAATCTCGTAATTTTAAATTAATTATATATGGGCTAGGTGCTAAACAAAAAATCTTCGGAAGATCAATTCTTATGTTATAATAAATCATAAGAAATATAAACTTTAAATAGTTATATTACAAAATTTTATTAATACAACTGCTTTCATGTTTTAAGTGAAAAATGATTCTAATCTTATTTTAAATTGAGTTGTATAAAAAAATTTTTTTGAAAATTTCCCCTTTTCTGTAGTACTCTGCTCATATGAATCCTTTTGAAAATTATTTTTTCATATGGTTAAATATTATTCTTGCCTGGATTCCTGCTGGTGCGGATGGCTATACGCCTATCGGACGTCTTAGTCAAAGTAGTGCCATTGCAGGAAATAGACTTTACTTTCTTGGTAGCGCATTTCCTGGGCAAACGAGAGAGACTATTTTTTTAGACGTGACTCTTTCAACGTTAAATAAGTCAAGTCCATTATGGCATCAATTAAACTCTCAATTCCCGGCTAATTCTGCATATGCAAGCGCATGTGTAGGAGGTCCTAATAATAATACGATATATCTTTTGGAACATCTTAATACAACTAATGGTTTTAGTAATTATACTATAGTATATGCCTTTAATACTGTAAACATATCATGGAGTATTCCTAATATAAGCGGAATAATGCCTGCAAGTCGGACACAATTTCAAGCTGTTAATGACACCAATGGCAAGATATACAGTCGCACCCCCTAAGTGCACACTCCCTAAGTGCACGGTATATGAAAAACCTCTCTAAATGCACACCTCTGCTTGGTCCCAAATAATATAACAATTATAAAATTTAATCCCCCTAAGTGCAAACCTTCTCTAAGTGCACATTTTGCTTTTTTTTCACTATGGTCCCGAGGGTGGTGCACTTAGGGGAGTGCGACTGTATATGTATGCTTTATATTTCCTATTTTTATTTTCTATCATTATTTTTTAGCAAAGTTAGTACGTATATATATTTTTTGACAATTTAAATTTCTTAGGTTTGGAGGATTTTTTGGTTCTAGTTCTGATGGTGAACTTCTTAATGATATTTATATTTTTGATACTTTAAAATTGACTTAGACACAAGGCTATAATGTTAACGCGCCAACTCCACGTGCTGACTTTACAGCTACACTTTTAAATAATGGTCTTATAATTTATATAGGAGGTAGTGATGATATGTTCAAGGTAATATGATTAAAGTATATTTAAGTATATTTAAGTATATTTAAGTATTTAATATTGTTTACTATTTTAAATTTTATTCACGAGTTAGATTCCGATTTATAATACCAATAATGACTCATGGTCTACAACGGTAATGTTCGTGACAAACTTTCTATTTGTTGAATATTCATGAACATTCACATTTTCTTATATAATTTGTTAGATTGCTTATGGTGATGTATTAAGTCCTAGAAGTCGTTTCACTGCTGTATTATCGCCGGATGGGCATGTTATAATCTATGGTGGAACGGGTCCTACAGATCAGAATGAATTGTTAGCTTCATTAGACACAACTGTTAATCCGTATATATGGTCAGCTAAACCTATGATTGGTAACAATGTACCACCCCAACTTGTATTACATTCTGCAGCTATAGTAGATAACTTTATGATCATAGCATTTGGTAATTATAAAATTCATTTAATTTATTATGAAATTTAGAAAAAAAAAAACCAACTAATATATTTTAATTTATAAAGGTTCAAGAGGTATAAATTATGATAATAGTACTTTTGACATAAATAATTTGAATACACAACTATACCTTCTTGATACTCGAACTTACATGTGGGTTACAGACACACAACAAAATTTTAATTCAACTATTTCATCTAATAATACATACAAATTAAGTACAATTGTGATTGTAGTAATTTCTATAGTTTCAATAGTTTTACTCGAAATAGTTTGTCTTATTATATATTTGCTTTACAAGAGAAGTACACCGAGTAAATTTCCTAATATGCAAGTATAAATATATATAAATGTGATAAAAATAGTTATTTTAAATATCGAAAAGATAAATTATCTATCTAAAATAGAGTTTAAGTATCTTAGTAGATCAAAAACAGATTTTTTTTTTTAATCCTTGGCATGATCGCCGCAGTACGCCGTATGATGTACAATTTTAACAACTTGTTTTAACTAATGGGCCTTCTACAGTAACTCTGTAAGATCCCATACATTTATAAAATTTACATAAATTATGGTAATTAAGTATTTGTAACACATGGTTTTCCTAATTATTTGCAACCGGCAATTCACCAGTATCTTTTATTTTTGACCAGAATTTCACTGGAGGTATCCCAATTTCAAACGAATTCCAGGAATATATTTTTTTTACAAGAAATATCCTTATCTGCCTTCACATGCGTCCTCAAGGATGTTGTTGTTATTCTCAATCGTAATTCTGGCACGATTGTAGTCCTCCAATATAACTCGAACTGGTGACCTTGAAGTACCCCCAGCGGCACCGACAGAACTTCACTGATTTGCAATCTAGAATATTTTGATTAGCCAATCAAAATTTGGTTATTTTTAATTTTTGACCGTTTTTTTAAAATCCTAGCGATGTTTTCCCACTAACCACTCAATTAAACTTAATAAATAATTTTATTTTAATTCTATACATCCGTGGAATTAAAATAAAAAAATTTCATTGAATTAGGATAGTTTTCTGTCGAGAAATCTTCGCTTGAAATTTAAAAAAAAATACAGAAAATCTTGAAAAAAAACCAAAATCGGACGAATTTTTATACTTTAAACGAAGATTTCTTGACTATCAACTATCCGAATTTGGTGAAACTATTTTTATTTTAATTCTGTGGCTTCATAGAATCAAAATAAAAAAATTTTGGTCGAATTTGAATAGCTTAATGTCGAGTAATATTCATTATAAGTTTAAAAATTTGGCCGCAGCTTTCCTTTTATAGGCACCTAAACTTTGAACGAAGATTTCTTGGCAATTATCTAGTCAAATTCGATCAAGATTTTTTTATTTTAATTCTATTGGTTATAGAATTAAAATAAAAAAAATTTGATCAGATTTGACTAGGTAATTGCCAAGTAATCTTCGTTCAAAGTTTAGGTGCCTATAAAAAGAAAGCTGCGGCCAAATTTTTTTAACTTATAATGAATATTTCTTGATCATTAGCTATTCATATTTGACTAATTTTTTATTTTATTTTAATTTTATGAACCATAGAATTAAAATAAAAAAAGTTTCATCGAATTTTGATAGTTGATTGTCAAGAAATCTTCGTTTAAAGTATAAAAGAGGAAAAAATTCGTCCGATTTTGTTTTCCGATTTTCTATATATATATTTTTTTAAACTTCTAGCGAAGATTTCTAACAGCAAACTATCCTAATTCAATGAAATTTTTTTATTTTAATTCCACGGATGTATAGAATTGAAATAAAATTATTTTATTAAGTTTAATTGTTGGTTAGTAGGAAAACATCGCTAGGATTTTAAAAAAAATTAGAAATAAACAAATTTTGATTGGCTGATCAAAATCAGCGAAATTCTGTCGGTGTCACTGGGGCACTTCCGATTTACTTATTTTTGCGAGTAACACAAACCAAAAAAGGAAATCGAATTTTGTAAATAAACTAAGCGTAAAAATAGAAGTTTAGGATTAGGACGTTAGGTTTGTGAGCTTTAGCAATAAGGTAAAGCTTCTTATATGTAAAATTTCATTCCCGTTATTTTTTATTAATTCACCAAGGTCGATTTAAACAATAGTTTCTGATTATTTTCGCTTTCTTTTCTTTTTTTCTTTCGCACGTGTTCGGATTCTGATCCGGAAAACCCGAAATTTCTGTTCTCTGATTGGCCATTTCCTTTTTAGAAGTTTGTATAAATAAGTGGCTGCGGGTACTTCTTGCCATAATCTCTATGCCATTCTGTAAAACGTGCCTACGCGTGCCACACGATCCATGCCATCTCGTGCATTCCTGAAACCAACCCTAGAGATGTGCCATATGCATTATGCAAATGATGCTGCATGCTACATAATGCTGCATAATGCGATGCAAGTTGCCTAAGATTTAAAAATGCACATTGAAGTTATTATGTAATTTTAATCTATGTCATTTCATCATCACTTTATAGGCACTTGTTCTTATCAAAATCAATACTCTGTGAAATTCAATAAAAAATTAATCTACCAGGTCTGTTTCTACTACATAAAACTAATAGTTTATGTTTTCAAATCTGATAACCTCTCAGAACTAATACAAAGTCTGTTCACTGTAATAAGTTTTGAGAAGTTCATAGTATATTATACAGAATTACATAATGCATCATGCGACATAATGTTGCATTATGTGATGCAAAGCCAAAAAAACTTGCATTCGCACATCTCTAACCATAACACGTACCACTTTTCTTATAGGATTTGATTTTAAATTTAGAAAATTTTATAAGTTCATCTTTTGTTTTGTTAAAATACTTAAAAATTCAGTATTTAAATTTTGTCGATTGTTTTGAAGAATATTACTAAATATAAAAGTAGGAATCAAATCACACCAAGTCATATAAACTTATGTCTCTAGATCACGGCATCAATATTTTTACATGGGTGTCTAAATTATTTTTGAAAAATCGTATTTACGGCAAACATTTAGGCATTGCTAAATTTTTTATATGAACCCCTTCGAAATAAATATATTATATGATGTATTTTGATGAAAAGAGTTCAAAAATTTTCGCCAATAATTTCGGCAAATATGAAAATTAATTTCGGCACTATATAAGATTAATTTAGACAGCCTAAATGCCGTAATTACTTTTTATTAAGATGGGCAATTTAGACACCCATGTATAGTCACAGGTCAAAGATTGCCTTGACCTGGGTCAATTAAAGAAACGAATAAATTCTAATGAATTTGTTTTTTCTAATGTGAAAAATGAACTCAAATTATGAGCAAGGTTAAGAAGATATTCCAATTTAAATATTTATATCTCAAACACATATGCCGATATACTAAATTGTAAATTGACCTATGTGACTATTGACCTGTGTTACCCGGGTTTGACCCGAGTAGCATAGTTTCTTTAGCCATTTACAGTTGGTACCACTAGAGTCTTATAGTAAAGCTGGACAGGACTTTAATACATTCAAATTGATAAGGGTAGTGACAGATATTACGTAATATTTTTTTACTATACCCTCTCTCTCCTCCCCCCCACGTAAGAGAAATTTGGTTGGCCTATATATCTAAGATGCCGGAGGCCCCTCCCCTCAGTAAATCTGTCATTACCCCAATTAGGTGATGCCAAATAAACATATTATTTTAGAATAATAAAGGCTAATGTGATCGTCAAATATCTATTTCACATGAGTGCCGCTAAAAGAAAATCCGAAAATTTAATTATGATTTATATTTAAATTTTCGGGGTTTCTTTTAGCGACACTCATATATATATGTTATACATAAAGTAAGATTAAAATACAGTATAGGCAACGAAGATCTTATACGTATTTTAGAAAAGCCAGTACCGTATTTTCGAGCATGGTGGACAAACCTCGTAGTACAAACTTCCCACGCTGACTCAGGGTCGATCTGTCCAATAAAAATATGATATTTACCGATCACATGCACAATTTTTA